TCGCACTAGTTGCAGGCATCGCGTGTCCCTAATGACCCGCGACAATGGACGCTTACGAAATTTTGGGCCACCGCCTCCTTTTGCATATTGCACTGCAGCTGACATAAAATTGCCATCGCAGTACGGACAAAACACAAAGCCACTTGCTGGCGCATTCGAAATCCAGTTTGCAGACAGGCATTGCAGTTTATTGGTTTGCAGTTCTAATTCGCAAAGGGGCAGCGGAAGTTGGTCACTCAAACGCAGACGTTGGTGTCTTTTCAAGTCAAGTGGTAAAAGTTTTCAGTTCGACTTGGTGAAAATATAATTATAATCGCTTTAGCTAAGTTCCTTTTTACCCATATTCGGTACTCTAAATTTAAGATTAATTCATTTTTGGTAACTGAAATTTAGCACCTGTAGACATAAGGAACACATTAAGAACATTAAGAATACGGCATACACCGCGTATGCTTAATTTGGAAACTTGCTGGTTTTTACAACTCAAATCACTAAACATGAACAATAAATTGGAACTAAATTTCCTTTTATTCAAGTTTTTGAATTTGTTAAACGTATAAGTATAAGTATTTCCTTACCATAATCCTTTAAAAATAAATAATTAAATAAGACTTTAAACATCGAACCTGGGCACTCCAGATTTTTTTTTGTTTCTCTTCTATCACATAAAGAGGTCTTTAAAATAATATATAAGTGTGCCTTACCTTTTTTCGATTTTCCCATTACCAGCCAATAAATAAATTTCAAGTTGGATTCCCATCGTTTAGCCAGCTTCAAACTGATTTCATTCTCTTTCCTTTTGAGTCTTGAGTGGCTGTCAATGGGTTCGATGCCACTTGAATCATTTTGCATTAGAGAAACGACAAAAAGGCGAAATCCTTTTCATGTTTTTACGTTATTTAATTAACAAGCAATTTGTTTCGGCCCGCTGCTAATTAGGCGCGCCCCATCAAAGGCAGCAGAAGACAAAAGTAGTCGTCTGGCGATGCATCGAAGCGAGCTCGGATTTCGCCCAGCGCCTTAACCCTTGACAACTTGAACGCCTTTCAGACACATTTCCATTTTCACACTCAACGTGCCGAAAACAATTAAACGAAAAGGAGCCCGAAAAAGGAAGCAGACAAAAAAAAGCAAAAACGATTGCTTTGTCTTGGCGAATCCTTTTAACTTTTCGGCGGCAGGGGTCGTGGGAAGGTGATACATTCGGGGCAGCAAATTATGGGTGTGTATCCACTAAAAAGGTTCGAAATTCGAGCGAACACTTTCTGGAGCCAATTCGTTTGACAGAGCTACTGTCCGAAAATTTAAGGCACGCCCATCTCGCAGTGGCAAACTTGCGAGTTGCACGCACCGCAAGAGTCAGCTAACTATAACAACTTGCATTGCATGCCTCTTTGAGTCGAACAACAGCTATAACAAGTAGCACAGCATTAGTGGTTGGGAGATTTTGGATCCTATTCGGTGATGCACTGAGGAAATTTCTTGTTTACTTAAGAAAAGCTGACGAAAGATACCGGTTTTACTTGAGTCTTGCTTTCTTGAAAGATTAGAGCCTAATCAAATTATCAAAAATAGTGCTAGATATGAGCGTTACACTTTTGAAGCCATTATTATCTATTCATTATCTATTTTCTATTTTTGTGGCTTCTCTATTGAATATGAAAATTTGGCAGGGCAACACTGCGTATGAGTGATAACCAAGTAAAATAAATAAATAAAAAAGAGTAGGACTTTTATTTTTTTTTAAATTTTTAATAATGTTTCAAGTCTGAAAATTTGTTTGGTTATCTACAAAACGTATGTTAGAAACCCCTTTCTGGCAGTGCATGGCTGGAATCGTTGTCATGGTCACGTTCAGCATCTGGTGCTGCTTCCGGATGGCGCTCCGCACGAACGGACGATGAATGGCGGCCATGTTCCGAGCACCATGCTCCATGCTCCATTCTCCAACCGCAACAATTGTCAAACAAGCCAGAAAAATGGCGGCTTTCTGCTGCAACTTCTCCTGCCACTTTTACTACTCCTCCAAAAGCCGCCGGCGCTTTTGATGCAGTGGTTATTATCCTCTGATAATTTTTTTTGTGGCCAGCTGCTTGTGGCCGTCTGAATTATGACAATATTCTTCCTTGACAAATAATAAATATCATTACCTTATAAAAATGAAAAAGTATTCTTAAGTTGTTATGTAAACTTAAAATATATATACAGGGGCAAATAGGTAAAGGATACAACTTTAGCTTTATATCAGGCAATGTAAGACAAACAAAAGATATACGTAAAAGGTAATGCCAAAAAGTAAGCAACAGAATTCGGAAAGCAAAAATAATGTAATTTAAAAATCAACAGAAAGTGATGTCAGTCAAAAGACTTCAGATTACACTTATCAAATTGGATTGCTAGTCTTTTTATAAACACTAATTACGATTTTAGAGAAAACAAAAGTAGTAAAATTATCTTCAGTTCTTTTCCAGCTATTTACATTTAACGGGACACAGTAATTTAAGTACACAAATTAGTGGCCCAGAATCATTTTCAATTAGCGCTCTGCTTGGAACATTTATGGTATTTGTCCAATATATAATTTGAGGAAAACTTTGTTTTATGGCTCCGTGGCTTTTTGAGCCCGCAAATAAACATTTGCGTAATGCTCACAGTTTGTCCCATTGCCTGTTATGCAAAAGTTGTAAACGAAAACGACGGCGAGGAGTGTGGCGTAGCTTCTGGAAATCCTGTTTTATGCCCAACACCCCCGTCCCCAGCTCCTCGCAAAAGTTGCCGCAGTAATAAAGGAGATTACCTTGCACATAACATGTGAGTAGCCGGAGTCGAGCAGAGATAGAGAGAGATTCGGCGAGGACTCATATGATTTCTGGCTTGGCCACAAAAGCCAAGGAGCCTTTGAGGCGGTCGGACATGGATATCCTGGACACTGCAGCCTCTGCCGGCAAAAGAAAGTTGAACAGTTGAAGCGGCGGCTGCGGAGAAAAGCCATTCAAATGTGCAAAAAAAAAGGTAACGAAACTTTCTAATTTTTTTAAAACCTAAACGTTTGCCACAATGGGGGATCAAAAGGGTTATACTTTAATATGCCATAATGAAATTAAGGTATTAATTTTAGCAGTGATATTCAAAAGATTGCTTATTTTGGGATGAAAAGTCAAAAAGTCATGTGCCTAACCACAAGATAACACCTCCCTTGTCAAATGTCTCTTCCATTTTATTGTTATATTGTTATTAGTGATAGTTGTAACTTAATAATTTACAATTAATTAATCATGTTTTATACCCCTGCATTATATTATAATTTTGGTCAGAACGCAGTTACCCTATGATGTATATATACTTTTGATTATCATAATTAGCCAAGATGATATTGCTTGGTTTAATATCTGTAAAGTTTGCAATTAGTTGTACATTTATGTAACCCTTTAACTTAAACGTACATAACGTATATTAAAGTTAAAGGCTCAGGAGCCTATTCTTAATCGCCTGGCTACCTGAGATATTTAAGCTGTTGATTTTGTCAGAAACTTTGTCTGGTCCTAAAATATTTAAAATATAGTTGAAGTAAAAATTGCAATCTGTAAGTTTTTCGGTCTCAGCTACCGTCATTTAATTTGGAAACAACAACATCAAGCCGAGCAGCAACTAAGCCAGAGAGTAAAGAATTTCATAGCCAAGACTTTTGCTTAGTTTTTAATTGCAATTAAAAAGTTGTGCACCAGTGAGAGATGGAGGAAGATCACACATAGCGACGTCCAATTGGTTGTGCTCTACCGACTGGACAGTTTGGCTTAGGTCCAGTTTTGTCACCCCCAAGGTCCCAGTCATAATGACAAAAACCGAGAACCACTGAGACGGCAACCGAAGACGAGATACACTGGATGTTGCATCTGAGAAGGGCGTGTGGAAAATCCCACAGTGGCTCTGAGTGAACCGCAAAATGGCCATGCAACCAATTTTCTAGCATAAAACAAGCTAACTTCTCTTCCAGCCCCCCCCCATTCCCTTGCATCGACAAAATGCTCTGTGCAGACTTAATGATTTTTGGCTTAAAGTTTTACCAGTTAGCAGTATTTTTGTAAGTAGTTAACATTTTATGAGACAAACCGCCCCACACACCACCTTCTCGGACCAAAAGCCCCAAGGGTTTTGTTTTATGCATTTTCCAGCTAGCCAACGAAGAACTTATCCTCCCATCTCGCTCGCTCTGCGGGGCTATTCCTATCTTATGGGGAAATCAACGGCAGAGCCAGACCAAGACCAAGACGATGACGACACACAAAAACGAAGCGAAACTTGATAAAAACTTTTATCATAACAATTTGTGTTGTTTTGCTTAGCTGCTGCCTCTTCAGCTCCTACTGCCCAAATAGGAACAATGGTTCTATGTGTGTGTTTGGTGTGCGTAATGAGAAAAGTGTAAGTGCATAGCCCAGGGCTCGAAGAAAGCCAGAGCCCCGGCACTTTAAGCTGGCAATTTTGGATCAGGCATCGAAAGACTTTAAAACGGAAAGTATGGTGGTAATCATAAAAAGAGTGTTGGCCCAATGAAAGTTTGATTTGCATCTCTATTAAACTGACTCGGAAAAAAATATACAAGTACTAAAACCTTTAAGAAGGCGTATGGATAATAATAAGTAAACCAAAAAATATTTGTTTAGAAAAATTTGAATATGTTTTAAAATTGTAAGATATAAACAATTATTTATTATTATTAATTAAAATGTAATAAATGACCATCTAAAGAGTATGTTTTTTACATAAATATATATCTCAGACAGGAACCCATGGCTTAAACGAGCAGTTAGCAAGGTCAGCCACCAACTGTTCCGAAGATCACTCAGCAAAGAGCAAAACCCAGTATTCATAAAACTGCAGGTTAAGCTTTCACCTATATAACTGGCTCTAACGATGGCTGAAAAACGACGGCTCTAGAGTCAAGTTCACAATAAAACCATCGAAACCTTGCCCTGGCTCATTCAGTTGGCTGCTGGCACTCGACTTGGCTTTTCGACTCACGTGATCGGGAAACGCGTTGCGCGGCAAAAGGCTCTTGCAATAATAACGGGTTTATCGGATGCGACCCTCTCGGCTCGTAAGCTTTTTCAAAAATCGTGTGTCTGCAGATGAGCAACAGTTAAAGCCGTATAGTCACCAAAACAATAGCATTAAAACTAAAAGTACTTTTAACATTTGTAAATTAAACAGCCTTGGTATGGGCAAAGAGTTTTAATTGAACAACAACACAACTCCAGCTGGTTCAAAGCAGTTTAAGCCGCCTTGTACCTTACCTACATCAACAACAACAACCATTACACCAACTACCACCAACAACAACACCTGGAAATCAGCATAAACTCAATTGTCGCCTAGTGAATTGAACCAAAGTGAAGGTGTTAAAACTCAGAGTGTAAGGGGGATATCGAATATAAGAAGCCGCTAAAACAAAACCGGGTAAGACACCATAAATCAGTTCAAGGAAGCGGAGATTATGCAAATTAAGCTGTGCGTGTCGTGTCTATAAAGCTTGGGAACAAGACATAAACAAAACGACAAATAAAATAACTTTTTTAATTTAAAATAAATTTACCAATGACAGGGTAAAAGATGTTTGAACTATAAAAAAACAACAAATTTTAAACTAAATATGTACACAAAGTTATATTCAAGTAAAACTCTAAAAATTGGAATATTCCATGAAAGAAATTAAACTATTAAAAATGTTACGTTTGTAATCTAACTGGTTCCAACAATGTTTCGCATCGTTTGAGCATACTTTTTTTGTATATATCAGTTTGAACATATTTGTTTGACCTTTTCCACCGTTACCACTGTGTCAATAATGACGTATACGCAACGTGGGTACCAAAATCATAACACTGAATGCATACATATTTAAAGTGATTCGTCTATCGATCGTTACCGTTTGTTTTGGCAGTGAGCGCAACAAGTTGCCCATATAAAAACACGTTTTTGCATGCTAATGCCCTGACGGTAGTCGATTGAAGTGTTTGGGATCCAAACTGTTTAAATTTGAATTTATTGTATACCATCATTCATTAAAATATGCGAGTTAAATGGTTTGCTATGCAGTCAAATAATAACAAATATGTAATATGAAATATAATTTAAGTAGCGGCCTATTTTGGTAAATTTTTTGTATTCTCTAAAGCTTTTTGACTCAAAATCTTTTAAATAAGATGAAACCAGAAATAACTGCTTTTAGCTCACCGCGGGCTTCTAAGATTAATGACGTCACTTCAGCCTTTCGCTATATTTCATTTAAAGAAGTAAAAAAGAAGCTACAGAATATAGTTCTGATGGTGTGACTCATCTGGCGGGGAAATCACTTGATTGTCAGAACAGAATATTTTTAAGTAGAATTCAAAACCAGTTTCATAATGAGCAAAAAAAAAATAAATGCAAATATTTTATGGCGGACTTAGACGTCAATCAAAAATAATTATTCCAGGTTACAGTAGAGTATTCTTCACAGAGATATTGAATTTACTACAGAGGCTGAAACTTAAAAGTTCAAGTTTTCTGCCGAAACCGAGCGTACTCTTTTATCTTTGTTGACGTTGTCAATATATGTTTTTTAAAAGAACCTTCTTTCTTTGTTGCCAATCATACAATTTAATTTGACTCTTAAAGTTAATGATATCTTTACTTAACACCTCATCCTGTCTACATCGTTATCTTAAGTTATTGTGCATCTCAAATTTATTTATATTTGCTTAAATTTACCACCAACTTTTTGCGAAAATCATTTATTTTTTGATGTAACTGAAAAATAAATATTTAAAAGCGTTCCCCAGTTAATAGAACATTTTCAAAATAAAATTGACACGCCAAATTGCAATCAAAAAACGTGCCCCTAACGACAAATTAATTATTTTAATAAAGGCAAACAAGACGTGTCAATATTTCACCCCACAGTCAACCGGTTCCCCAAGTTAACCACACATATATTTTGTGTGCATTCGAACGTAGCCAAACAAATATCAAATATAAAATTATATATCACTCACGGCTAGCAGTTTTATCACCCACACCAATTAACAGCTTGAGGTAGTTAATCCAACAAGGTGTAAATTGTTTAAATGATTCAGCAAATAAAAGTCTTTATCTTTAGTTTACTCAAATAACTCGAGCAGATTTCTAAGGCTTAATAAATATTTATTCATTCAATGAAAGTATTTTATTAAGTAAATTTGCGGAGTGGGGTCATAACTGCTAATTGATAACAATATTTGTTGCATATTTATTTGTAAAGGGCTTTAACTTCTGAACAAATCAATTTTTTATTGAAATAAATTGTATTTATATTTATAAAAATCAAGAGAAACATATTTATTATATAAAAATCATTTAAAACGGAAAAAAAATAGAATTTGTTCTTTATATATAAGTTTACTTGCATTTTTCTAAAATTTATTCACAATTTTTTAACTTTCCGGGGAATTAACTCTTTGAAAATTCTGTTATCAACCCCAGACATGTGCCATAATTTCAGTATCTAAAGGGCATTGCAGCTACCCTCTCTCTGTCTGTATCCGTCTAATCACCTAAGTTTATTTGGCTCGTGACAGTGACATCATTTCTTATCTCCAAGATCAGTTGGGTTACTCTGATTGTCAGTTATACAGCTTCAACAAAGAACATCCCGAAAAGACCCCACTTAGTTCTAGTCCACAACTCGATGCTTACAGACCGAATAATTTCAGCTGAATTTTCTCTGACAAAATGGAAGCGTCGCATAGGAACCACCGAAATCCAGCCTTCGTGGGCGACGACGGACGCAGTACGGCCAGCACAGTGGAGATTTCGGTACGATAATGGCCCACCTGAAACGGTTCCCACATAATCCATGAGCCAACTAATCATCTTTCCACAGGCCAACAATCCCGCCCTGCGAGATAATTCCGATGACCAGGAGGCGGCCAAATTGCCAGAGGAGCGGGCCACCTGGGGCAAGGGCATCGAGTTCCTGATGTCCTGCATCGCCATGTCCGTGGGCCTGGGAAACGTGTGGCGATTCCCCTTCACCGCCCTCGACAACGGCGGCGGCGCCTTCCTCATTCCATATCTCATTGTCCTGTTCCTGATTGGCAAACCGATTTACTATTTGGAAATGGTAATTGGCCAGTTTTCCAGTCGCGGCTCCGTAAAGGTTTTCGATTTGTGCCCGGCCATGAAAGGTAAGCGTCCATGATTTCATTAAAGTCAGTTCGAAGTTGTCATACTCTTGCAAAGTGAAAGGGGTTTTTGTGGTTTAAGTATAAAAATAAGTTCAATCTCAGGGTACTTTCAGAAAGACACAAATAATTTAAATTTGTCCGAAATCCATTCCAAATAACTCAAATAAAACTTGATTTAAACGTTCTTCAGTTATGGTCATTGTAGTTGCAGTCCATAAAGAAAAATTCTATAGCTTTAAATTTAAAGTTTTCTTTAAAGTTTTAATTAAATACCCCTGAGTTCGGTAAACAAATCCCACTACCCCTTACATTTAAGAGCAAGGCAACAGCGAACTGCAGAGACTACATCGTCATTCTGTTCATCAACCCGCCTGCCTGACCCAAAACACGCGACCGCATCTATAGGTGTTGGAATCGGCCAGGTGATATCCATATCCATGGTGACCACCTACTATGTGGCCATAATGGGCATAACCCTGCGCTATCTGTACGATTCGTTTCGTTCGCCATTGCCCTGGTCCGAGTGCCGACCGGAGTGGCAGTCCTACTGCGTGGCGTCCAGTCTGGGCAACACCTCCCAGTTGGGCAGCACCAGTCCGGTGGACATGGAGAGGATGCCCCAGCAGCAGCCCGTGGCATCCGCGGAGTTGTATTTTCTGTAAGTGGTTTGTTCTCGTTCTGTGGTTGTTGCTCGGAGGCCTATGTCATTGGTGGTGTTGCAGCGGCATGTTTTTCGGTGTTATGTGTGGGTGGGTGGGTGATTGTGCACTGTGGGTAATCTTATCGCGGCTCGGAACTCGAAATCGCAGCGGCGGACTTAAGTTTATGGCCCGGCCGACAAAGGCGCGGAATGTCCGCTTTATTACGCGACTAATTGAATGAGTACCCGCATCCCTCTGCCGGCAATTATGGCGCCCATTTCCATCAATTGTGGGGCACGGGCTCTGCAATAAAGCTATGCGATTGCAACAGCCAAACAGAAAGTGATTCCATCCGCTGACAGTTCAATTGGCTGTCATCGCCAACGTCAATATATGCATCCAATTTCCGAGATTGAATCACTCAATCACAACATTGTGTAGCCTTGACCTAAACTTGAAATTTGCAATACCACATAAACATGTTAAAATTGGTTTTTTAGTGATATGTCAAATGAGAAACACGTTCTGAAGATCCTTTTATTCTCCTTGTACAATTTTGTAAGGGAGAAAATACCCTTACACCTTTAATTCACTAACTGTTAAAGAATAATAGCTAAGTTCTAACTTCAGTATTTGGATGTTTATAAATGAAATTAATGATTTAAATTAAATCCACTAAAGAAAAGTTTTAATAATAATCTGATAATGCTCATCTTGGCTCAGTTATTTTTAAAAATTTTAAACACTTACAATTCTTTCAATTGCATGCAACTCGTACAAAAAGTATCTCCATGTAACCATGTAATTGCTATTTATGTTTTAAGCTTTCTTTTCCAAATCATGCGAAAATCATTCCCCAAATAATCTAAGTGCGCTCATAACTCATTTCTATCTCATTTGAATTGTGTTTAAACTCTTTCTTTTCGTAACTCGTTTGTAATCAATTGGAAAAAGGTGTTGGAGCCGGACAGGCGTTCCAGGTGTTTATGCTCAGCACTTACTATGCCGCCCTGGTAGCGATAATTGGCCGATATTTCGTTGAATCATTCCGCAACCCATTGCCCTGGGCCACATGCCGAGCGGAATGGGGTATCCACTGCATCAACTCAGCCCCCGATGCAAATAATTGGTCTCAAGTGGATAGCGATGATCAGCGCCCGCAAAATTACACAATGAAATCACAAAACGATAGGGTCATCACCAGTTCGGAATGGTATTTTGTGTAAGTGCTAAGTGTCTGGGACAAAGCGGTTGTGTGGCTTGCTTGAAAATTCACTAGTTGACTGTATTTATGACTAATGTCGGCTTATAAAATTTCACAGAATGTGACATATTTAAATTGTATTAAACCACGAAGCCATGTATGAAAACGGAATTAATACGTTATATTCTAAATTAATTTTATCGACAGACCATAGTCCATTAGTCTTTTGTCCTCTAAATTTAAAAATGATATCAAAGAACATATTTTAATCATCTCCTTGATCGAAAGCTTTTTCAATGTATTCTATACAAACACCTAACTGATCGTAGTCTTACCATTTTAGGAACATTACATATAAACCTTACACTTTATTTACCTTCTAAAAACACAGTCAATTGGTGAGTTTCAAAGAAAGTCTCATAGCTGCCAGCGAATGAAATCGGTGATGGTTTTTGGCTAACTATTATTAATTGGTGGTGGTTTAAGCTCAGTGTTCTCTCCTCTAATTAAATATTATAATTCCTCTTCAGTAAGGAAGTGTTGCACGAGACTCCAAATATCGAGAATGGAATTGGGATGCCCAATTGGGAGCTCGTCGTTGGCCTTTTTATCGCCTGGGCTTGTGTCTTCCTCATTATTCGGCGCGGAGTCAAGAGTTCAGGAAAGGCATCCTACTTTTTGGCCATCTTCCCTTACGTCATCATGGGAGTCCTTCTGGTGCGAGCTGTCACACTGCCGGGATCCATAGACGGCATCTACTACTTTATCAAGCCGCAGTGGGGTAAAATCCTGGACCCGAAGGTCTGGTACGCAGCTGTGACTCAGTGTTTTTACTCGCTGTCCGTTTGTTTTGGCAACATCATCATGTACTCCTCGTTCAACAAGTTTGGCCACAATGTGCACAGGGATGCGGCGATTGTAACGGGTCTGGACACTATGACTTCCCTGCTGGCGGGATTCACGATTTTCGGTATCCTGGGACATTTGGCTCACGAAATCGGCACTGATGACATTGGTTCGGTGGTGAAAGGTGGTGCCGGATTGGCTTTTATCTCGTATCCCGATGCCATTGCCAAGTTCAAGCAACTGCCACAGATATTCTCGGTCCTGTTCTTCCTCATGCTCTTCGTCTTGGGTATAGGATCTAATATCGCCATGACATCCTGCTCGGTGACCGCCATTCGGGATCGGTTCCCTAACTTCAAGCAGTGGCAGTGCTCCCTGCTCATAGCAGTCGTTAGCTTTGTGATCGGTCTGATGTACATAACGCCGGTAAATGATCGAAAGTTAAATATTTCTAAACTTTTTCTATAACTTTCCTGTATTTTTTACTTTTTTAGGGCGGCCAATATATGCTGACTCTAGTGGACTTTTTTGGCGCCTCGATGATTGCCCTCGTACTAGGAATTGCCGAGCTGTACACTGTAGGGTGGATCTATGGCACTGATCGCCTGTGCAAGGACATTGAGTTCATGTTGGGTCGCAAAGTGGGCCTCTACTGGAGACTCTGCTGGAGCATTTTCACCCCGTTGATAATGACTGTTATTTTGATATATTTCTACGCGACCTACGAACCCCTGACCTACAACAACATTGTCTACCCCAATTGGGCTTACAGTAAGTTTTTAAGGTCTTTTGAAAAGCCCTATGACTGATCACGGTCTATTTTCAGGTATTGGCTGGTTAATCACCGCCTTTGGCATTCTTCAACTGCCCATTTGGATGATTGTGGCCATTATTCGAGATCCAGGCCAAACTGTGGGTGCAAAAATACGCGGCGCCTTTACACCGAAAAAGAATTGGGGACCCCTTGACCCTCTACTTCGAGAGCAGTATAACAAGGAAATCGAAAACGAATTGACCCCGAAACGTGGACAGGGTATTTGGGCTGCCATCAAGCAGAATATATTTGGATAAGCCCAGATGGGTAAAATTTGCAACAAGCGCCCTTGTAAATAATATGTTGTAATTTAAGTGAAAAGAATTAAAAAGATCTTGTATAAATATTAAGTCTGCCAATAAACTTGATAAGTATGTATCAAAATCGTATCATTGCTTTTAAATTAAACCTATGCACTAAAAAGTTATTTGTACCTTTTGTGTACTGTTTTAATATGATGTCATGTAAGAGATTACCTTTTTCATTCCCGTAATCGTATAGATTAAACGTAATTCACCTCGCTTATCACCTTGATTAACTCGAAGCACAAATCAAGCGTAGGTCGAATTATCCGAAAAAGGAAGGATTAGGGTTTCCCGGTATTCGCCAACCACTATTAAATACCATCGCTTCGCTCTACTTCTCTTTGGCCCCACAAATTGACCGCAACATTTGACAATTTTCGGCATTTGCCAAATCCGCCGTAAAAACGGTGACCGAGAAAGAGATAGAGCAAATCAAGAGAAATGTTATGTACTTTGTCTCCGTTACTGTTCCAAATCAAACAAAGGCAGCGGCAAGCCAAACAGTGGAGGGGCGCATTCACAAAAGCAGACGACGGTCACTGTCATTGTCAGCGATTTACAGTGGCCAAAATGACAGAAAAAAGACTTTAATTATATTATTAAACAAAAATAAAAAAAGTAAATTTACTGAGAACTTCTTATACCTGACCAGTCTGCATACTTTTTTTTTTAATTATCTTTTTTTTAACACAGTAATTGCCATATCAGAAAAAATTAAATTTCTTTGATGTACTTTCATTGTCTCTATCAAATACTGAGAATTTTTTAAACATTTAAATATAAAATATGTATGTGTCCAAATGTATACGAAATATATTTCGTAAACTAAGCATGTATTTTGTTATTCCTATTCAACGAATACTCTAATAAGCGATTATTTATTTATAAGTTGTAATAATAATTTAAAATTTTAAAAATTTTTATATCCACTGTGCGATGTGGCTGTTGGTGAAAAAGAGTGGGCGGGCGGTTTGACGACGAGGCATCTTAGAGATAATTGCTTTGATAAGGCTTCGCGTTCGGTCGAAAAGAGGAGCTCGGGGCTGGCCGAAAACATTTTTTATAAATGTCGCCAAATATTTACATGTCGCAGCATTGTGAAGCGGCCCAACAGATTTTTTTCCGAGGCTTTTCCTTTGCCTATTTCCACCAAGTTTCACCCTGGCCCGCATTGGGCCCGCGGCTTGACTTTGCCAACTGGCCGGGCGAAGTGGCTTCCTGGCCGGCGATTCCGGATGGCGGCGACCACCGTCGCGTTGCTGGAAACCGCATAAAAGTCATTGTCACAGCAAATGGATTAATTTTCGCGGCACGCTGACATATACACCTCTCTTTCGCGCTCACTCTATAGCACCCACTCAGTCCGTTTGTCTTTCCGACTCTCTTTTCGTACCGCTTATTGTGGGGGTACATGGGATTTATAATTGGTAAAAAATGTATGTTTCATTTAACCAAAAGTCATAATCAGATAAAATATTTATTCTCGATTTCCAAAGAAATCTAAATCCCTTTATGAACAACTTTTCAATAATATTTTTGTAAAACTAATAATATATTTATTTGAATGAATATGTTATAGCTTATGAAGCTTGAAAATAAAATTGTATTGCCCAAAGTTATGAAAATATTAATAAATATTTATCAGAATTTTATGAAATTGTATTCTAACTAAAATCAGCTTTGGATTAACTTGAAACATTAATTAGTCAAGAATTTTTTAATTTCAAAAATGTATTATGCTCCATTGACACCCTTAATTGTGTTTAAAGAAACAATTTTATTGGGATTAATACATATATACATATCTAAGAAGAATAATTAGTACCTAAGAATTTTATTAGTAGTTTGAAAGAGAAATTATATAGGGTAATATCGAGTCGAAAAGAAGACATATTTAGCTCTTATTTTTTTTGTGTAAAGAAATTAAAAAGCCTGGTCTGTGGTCGAGCAGGTCGAGGGTTGGGGCATGAAAGTGGGGGTGTGGCATTTACCGCAACAATAATTACGTTTTGGGTGGGTTTTTCAGATCCTGATGCTGGCACGGAAGTGTATAATGTTGCTAAGTAGTTGCGGTTATTTGTTGTTGCTGGGTGACATTTTTTTGTTTCCTCTTTTCCCTGATGTTGTTGTTGTTTCGTGTTCCGTAATTATCCTGAGAGGCAACAGGAGGTTTATTTCACGCTATAAATGCTTCATAATTAAGTTTTGTGGCTCTTCAAAACAAGAAAAGAACTCATTTTGTTGCTTCTCTTGCTTTGTATGCAAAACACTTTTATAAGAAAAACCACTGATTAACTGAAATGCTGTGACATTCAAAAAGAGCTAAAAGGATAAAGGATTTCCTTGTGGCCTACGACTTATTAAGATCACGATCATAAGCTAAAAACTGGATACCTTAGATTATTTAAAGAAAATTTAATAATTTTGTAATAATTTACAGGTGTTGTTTTTATAAATTAGCCTTTCCATATACTTTTCTTTCTCTTTTTTTTGGGGGGGTCAACATGTTTGGCGACAAATTTGGCTTTTTTTGTAGTTGTAGGGGTTGTACTAGACGGTGAAGTAGCTACACTGTTTGTGCTTTCAATTAGTTCCGGATTTGTAGACACAGTAGCATCTTCAACTTTTATATCCACCGAAATACTATCTAGTAAAGTTTCGGTTTTCTCAGTCGCCTTAGTTGTATCTAGATGTTTTGTAATGAAAGAAGTAGTAACTGGTGCAGTGGTTCGTTTCCGGGTTGTAAAATCATGTTTAGTTGTTCTATGCTTTTGGGCACTTCGATTTTTCTGATAGGATTCCACTATGTTGAATATATCCTCAAGCAGCTTAACAGAATAGTCGTTATTCTTTTTGGAAGGGTTATAGCACTTGCGTTCGCAATCCGTTCGATAATCAAAGCCATTCCGACAAGTGAGTTTCTGGGAACAAACGCCTTTTGTTCGAATGTAAAACCATTTTGTTCTTCGAACTTTGCAATCACTGTCAAATCGTATATTGCACTTGCCTAAATAAAAAATATTTTTTGGTAATTAAGAAAATCGGTTTTTTTTTCTGTCAGCCTTGTTCTCACAGTCTTAAAATGTTATATGACAGCCATTTTTTGTAAAGGTCAGAAACCTCTTATTTAAGCGGATAAGGAAAGTTTTAAATGCTTTTTAACTTAGCACATTTTAAGAAAAAAGGCAAACCATTTTACAATTTATTTGACTCACTCGAATGTTTATGTTTTCCATCCACCAATATCAACAAAGAGAAAAAGCCAAAGACTAAGAGCATGTCATCCACGATAAGTGCGTCTTGAAGATGTGTCAATCCTCAAATAGAATCGGAAAGTGTTAAAGTTTGTCCCGTCCAAATGCAATTAGCCAAGCCAATTCCCACCAAGTCGAACCGATTTTCGAATATCTATCTTTGCCACAGTAGCCCTAACTAGTTTCTTTGCGCTTCGAGAGCTGACATGTTGCCAATCAGTCCAAGTGCCAAAAACTTTGGCAAACTGCTGGCCCAAAGTAAACTCGCAGACTTGTACATAACGCGGGAGCATCGCAGACTCCAAATTCAGTTCTATTTAACTAAAAGCTAAAAAGCACCGACAGAAGCGAGCTCTAACGCTCCTTCTCTATTCTGGAACCGTGTTTCTTGCCTATACTCGCAAATGCATTTGTTTTGCCGAAAAACCCGCAACCATGCTATGCAGCGAAAAAAAAATAAACAGGACCCGCAACTAATCCCCAATTGGGGATGGAAGTCTAGGAGTAACTGCAACGTAATAACGCCTGGTACTTTACCAACTTTTGTGAACTATAAGTATTATTTTTTAAATTAATTAAAATCTTTTAAAGCTAAATTGTACTGCTTACAGTGCAAAATGAAGATGTCATAAAATACAATTTTACAAAACTTTAGAAATTGCTGAGAGTGAACATTTCTCGTAGATATTTTCTAAATTTAGATTTTTGAAATTGAAACAAACAAAACTAATTTGGGAACTACTTTCTTTTAAATGTAAATGTTCCTTAAAATGGATGTTTATGGAAACTGTTGGGAGAACCAAAATAGCACACCTTCAGAAGTGTTCAACTAATACATTTCCCCTCACGCTGCCATCTCCAACCGCTGGCCTGCCCAACTCATTCGCACTCCAGCTCGCAGATAACCTGGGACAAAAAAGATTTCCAGCTAAAAGCAAGCCAGCATAGAAATGGACCAAAGGAAAGCAAACCGAAAAAAGAAGACTGGAAAAAATTTGGTGTGTTCTTGGGAGTTTTTGGCAAGTAAAGTTGCGCGCTCATGCGAAGAGCCGCAAATGTGTGCAATGGGCACAAGTTGCGAAATGGGCCAGAGAAGGGTTTTCTTTTTTGTTTTTTGTTGCCTTTTTCAAATGCTCTCTTTGCCATTTCTTTTGGCAACGGTTGAAAATGTTTGGTGTTTAGAGTAACTGACAGGTGCATCCCGTTTGTATGTGTATGTGTGGGTGGAAGTGGGTGGGCGGTATGTTTGTTTTGTGGCCGGCACATGGCGAACAAACATATGGGCGTGGAGCGAAAATCGGATGAGGGTACAGCAAAATAAAGTAATTGAATTTTCATAGTGCTCAGAGCAGACAAAACTTCGTGCTCTGTTGTTGTTTGCATTGTGCACTGTATTGGGTTTCTTTTAATGCCCTGATTGTCTTTTTGCAACCACCAGAACACATTTTAAGGCTAAACACATTTTCTTTAAAGTGTTGCAATTAGATACAAATTAAGAAAAATAATTTAAATGTAACTAGAATTAAGTTTTATTGTAAGACTTTTATTTTCCAATAAATCTTAAAGCTTATTAACTTTGTTTTCTAGATGTGCGTACTAATATTGATACTGCATTAAATTAATAATTTAAGAAAGATAGCTGCAAAATATAGAAGTAATCATCCATTTACGTAAATCTGTACATTATATATTACAATTTTTATGTTGACCACACAACCTACGGTTAACACCCAATTTACAGGCGAAAAGAGATTGCATAAAGAGATTGAAAAGCCTAGAGCACTGGTGGGAGCATATTTATGTCCGTCAGTATGGGACGTATATA